TCCCGACCGTCGCACAATTATGGGTGGCGGCTGGTCGTCGTCGTCTTCCGACGCCCCCATCTCCGTGTCTTCCGTCGTTTCCTCCACCTCCTCGGCCGGGCTCCTCCGCCCCTGCCCCTGCCCCTGCCTCTGCTTCTCTTGCGACCCGTACCGCTTCCTCTTGCTTCTGCTGCTACTTCCTACAATGCTGCTCCCCGCTCCGTGGCTCGACGTCACCCCACCCCCGTCTTTCTTCCCTCTCTCCCGTAGCCGACCATTGTGCCCATCCTCCATCATGTCGTCGCCATCGTCGCCAGCTGCGTACCACCCAACCACATCCCCAACCCAAGCCTATCAGCACTACACCTCTACCCTGCCCTCCCCCTCTTCTCCACGCTCCCCACCGCACCCACCACATCACACACCACCCTCTGCCCCTCCTCCACCACGCCCCACCACCGCAACCCACCCTCTCCACTCGTCGCCAAACGCATTTGCTACAACTGCCCATCCCACGATTGCCATTGCGCCACTTCCCCGCGATCTACCCGCCACCTATTCGTACGCTCGACCGTCTCTCACGGACCTCCAAAGATCCTGCAACTGTCGTGTCGGGACACGACTACACAGTCACATGCGAATCGTGACACACGGAGGGACTACACTGTAACGTGGTCGGAGACGAAATCGGGATGCAGGTTAGCAGTGCACGCACAGAAGCAGAGTCCAAAACACTACATGATAGTGAATGCGTATACGGCAAGGGGCAAAGTGGACTACATGTCCATCGCTCGAAACGACGGCGATTGCGGGACCTTTAGAACCACATTCGCATCAAAAAACGAACGCGGTTCAAACTTCGGTACAACAAACTCAGCTCCACAGCTGATCTGCAAATAGCTGGACAGCCAAGAGGTACAGCTGCATCCATAGGAGGAGAAAGCACGAAAATGTGCTGCACAAATTATCGCCCGTTCGGCTCTCGAAGGTATCAGGAACAGAAATTTTAGCGACTGGTCAACTGACAGAATAAGATATCACTATCTCTCTCAGAACCCAGGTCCAAAATGAGAAAATATTCGCTTATCACCTCAGTTACGAATTCCACTTTCCAAGAAAACACAGGACGGGGCTCGTGGTCGCTGTTCCCACTAATGACCTACGTCTCATTCTCTTGAACAACACTTGCAATCCACATCTCCGTCAACGCTCTAAGGGCTCCCGTACAAACAACGTGATAACCCTTGACATTTGGTTCCGTACTACAAACTCAACTACCCAAAATCATCCCCTTCTCTCGTTCACTTTCGATTGCAATACTCACGGTAGAACAGACTATCGATGCTACTCACCATGCCAAAGTCAAGCATTCAGAGCCTGAGATTAACTCTCCACCTTCACATTTCATTATATCTCCCCAGGTTCCTTTCTCTGAAATCCTCTAGTGACCATAAGCTGGAATCTTCTTAGCACAAAGTATTCCGATAAACTCCTACCAATTAAAAAAGAAAAAATCTCTAAATCCGGCAACTATCGGCTTCACAAGGGCTGACGATCACTACGCACTTCCCGGTGTGGAGGATGAGTGATAGACCTCAGATGAATGAATTGAGACCAATAGAACAGTTCTATCGCCCTCAGAAGTCCCCGATCTTGAGAAGGGCCCCCCACATTTCTTTTAAAAAACACTACAGAAATCCTACAGTATGCATCAGATTTATCAGGCAGCTATGGCCAGGAATAATTCTGAATCTCATAGCGCAAGTAGTGATAAATACCAGCAAAAGAAACCGAGAAGGAAGGCTCATATGTTTACTTATGCAGAGGAAGAGATATGTGGAACAAGATCGGGCTTTGAGCAGACCTGCAGCGTCCTTGAAACCTGTGCGCGGTCGTCTAATAGCTTGAACCATGACGCCACCTACACTCCCGCGCCGACCCTCACGGCCACGCTCCATGAGAGCTATGGAGGACCACACCCCTGGCTATCCTCCCTGCTCCAGCTACTGGTCCCCCCCTACCACTTCAGTTTTGTGGAAACAAAGATTGAACAAACCACGGCTGGCAGCTAGCACCAAAAAGAATACGAAAACACATGTACGGGCGTGTGCACTGGGAGCCAGATTAATAGACGGCCTGTACAGCTCTCCTCCACGGAAACTCGGGAATTGTGAATAACAGGACCAGCACCACTACAATTCCGTGGGGTGAGCTGCAGATGGAAAAGACGCGGGTGATAATGGGAGGAAAGTGAATAATCTTACGAAAGCAAACTACGTGAGGAGCGAGTCGGAGAACCGCACCAAGAGGGTTTATCCACTCTCCTTGCCGTCCCGCAGCCTAAAGCTTTTAAGGGAGTACTGCTCCAAACCCCAGAGATGGCGGGAGACAACCACAAAACGAGTCCGGGACGCGACGACAGAGTCGAAAAGGAAGAGAACACCACAAGGGCCAACGTCACAAACCATGTCACCGCAGACCAACCTGATTCCGCCCACTACCGAAGCTCTAAAATTCACTCCACGCAGTGTAAAGAATCCACACAGGCCCCACAACCGCAGTGTAGAGCATCCACTCATTCCAGGCGGCCGCGACACAAGAACAGAATGCCGTCACAGTTCTCACATCGTCTTGAAGTGGGACGCAGCGCAGGTCGCGCCTCCAAGCACACAGCACCACGCTCCACTAATCAGTCACACACTACTCACTCTACCACTCAGCTACTCTACCCCCCTCAACCGCTCCTTCCCGAATAGGCATTCCTCCCAAGCAGTTCACATTATCTCCGGTACGCGGAGTCCGATCCCAGCCTCAGTCTCCACCCTGTGCTCACTATTTGCACTCACTCTCACCGCAGATGGCACCATTCGGATCCCCTCGGAAGAAGTCGCTACAACGCACTGTCCACCGGCCCAAAAGCACATAGGAGGAGGGGAAGAGGCGAAACTGGGAGACAGAAACACGGTGGGTGCTCTTCAAACACAAGGGTTCTCAATTCCACGACTTTGTTGCGGGGGGGGGGAGACAGGGCTCGTGAGGGAAACGGCAGCACAACTCCCTGCAAAATCACGATTCTCGCCCCAGCCTCACCACCACAACACCACCTTGTCTTCGCCTCGTCGTTCCAATGGGGGGGGAGGGGGGGGATGGCCATTCCCATCCTCATCTTCTTCTTCACGCATACATGGGCCCACATCCACCATTCCATTCCATCCCCCATCCTTCCAATCCGTCCTTGGTTTGGTAATTGACCACCACCAGTTGAGCGGTCACAAGACAGTTTGGGCCAGGTAGGTTCGTAAACCAGACCTATTTCCATGCCTCCTTTCGCCTTCAAGCCCTCGTTCAACCACAGTGAGACGCCTGCCCTTGCAGCAGCATTCTTCTAATTGTTTAGTCATTACTCCGCCAGAGACTTGAGAATTTTAATTTTCCGTTTTGGAGCATGGAATTAAAGCAATCCCGTCTTTTCTTTTACTGTCTGCCTCGAGGAACAGACCGACGCGTCTTAAATTAGCCTTGCCAGTGGTCCACGAGTCTGGATTAAATTTGGTTTTTCACTACCGTTCTGGCTTCTGTGTTGCGACCCCGCTATGTATGGCCCACCTCCCCCTGGTACCAACAAACGTGCGTGTGTGTAAACCCTCTGTCTGCCACAGGCAAGCAGAGTGGCATGCTTGACACGGTGGAGTTACTCTACCAGTCCACTGACAAGGAGGGTAGAAGAACCAACACGTTGAATCTCCATATGAGTGTCATCTTAAATTTATACGTTTTATAAATATTTTAAAACGTGTTCTTAAAATATATATATATATATAGAATGTGTTTGCAGAACGTAGTTATGTTCACAAAAATTTGCATTAAAAGACGAGATGTTTTTATACAATGTGTTTCACAAACATTTATAGAGCACATGCCAAATAATAGAGAAATTTTCTAAAATATTGCAAATTGTCCTTGTTCTTCTTCTTCTTCTTAACTCCTTCAAAACAACATATAAAGCGTTTAATTTAATGAAATCATGTGCATTGTGTTGGTTTTTTCTCTAAGCAAGTGATATCACTAAAGATGAGATTTAATTTACTATACAAACTATATATATATATATATAACATATTATTCTCAAGAACTTGAAATATGTGATGAGCATACCGCTCTACACATGACGTGTTTCTAGGCTGCAACAAAACAATACGTTTGTCAAGTATGTTACCCAAGTAATTGTTACTAAAAGGAAAATTAAAAAGGATTCAAGTGCACCTAGCATTTGACGGCTTTCTTGCAGTGAATTAAAGTAAACTATAACAATCTATCGTAAAAAAGTAAACAAGAATATTTACACCATCAAAAAATTAAGATATACAATTACAAATGGGAAACCGTCCATAAATTGGTAGGCAAGAAAGATTACAAAGAAGTGCGACGTAGGACAAGGCAAAATTCCCAGGAGTCAACAATCAAGCTCTGGGTTTCTCTGTATTGTCAAGCAGTTTGGATGTGAATCGGACGCTCCCCATGGAGTTTGGACGTACACGAGCTCACGCCGTCCCTTGTGCCAGCAACTGCTGCAAAAGTACCACAGAAAAAGACAAACAAACCAAGGCAGAGAAGAAGAAGAGAGTGCAGGTGTTGCGCACTGCAGAGGTGTGCACAGTGGCAAGGTCCCCCGCCTGTTCTGGTCCACGTGGAATGCTATATTCTCCACGTTGGACGCAGAGCTCTACAAGGGAAAACAAACAACATATGCCACGTGATCCCACCCTATGACCGTGTTTCATCACCTCCCTTTGCTGCATGATGCATTCACCATCGGTGATACCCCATTGCCGCCATCCATGCAACTAGCAACCAAGGTTTAGTTCGATCCTTGTGCTGACTGGACGGATCAATTCGGTTTCCAGATGGGTACGAAATGTGTAAATTGAATGCAGTTGAGGGGTAGTAGAATGCCACTTCGACACCCTCTCCGTGATCCTGGCCCGAGTCATTTTGGCTTTAACATTCGTATGTAAACCGTATGGAGGAGGCATTCCAGGGTGTGTTGTGTGGATACAGACAACGAAGCCAAGGACTCCACGTGTGCGTAAAATTTAAGAGAAATCTTTTCACACCGTAACGAACAAAAGGCTCATGAAAGGAAAGTGCGTCGGTCTGTGAGGCACGTGGACTGAACGTGGGACATTCCGATAGGTTAAGAATTCGGCGATAGCGGGAAGCATCGTCTGATGAGCCAATTTGCTTCATTCATTTATGTTTCGGCACGGAATACTCTGCTTATTTAGGGCGTTCTTTCAACACTCAAATAAGTAAGAACAAATTAAGGTGCCAGTTTGGATTGATTCACGCAGTAAAGTAAACTTCGTTTGGATTACATTAAAATCTCGTTCAGGAAAGTCGCACTAACTTCTTTCTATTGCTCCTTATCAGATGTAAAAAAACAAAAAAACATTTAAATTGGTCTATGAGTTTATGTTTTGACAAACCTTGTGGTTTACAAGAATAATTCACTTGTGTCAAAAAAACTATGGAGTTAGCATCTTTATTTAAATTCCAGTTTGTTGTCCCTGTCAAAATTATAGAAAAACGTATTGTCAGCCACAGGGACGCAAACTATATAAATATATATATATATATATATATAATAATAATGTAAAATAATAGATGGCTCCATGAAACTATTTTTCCTCGCTATAACCTTTATTCTGATTTTTAAATAACTGAGAAAATACATGTATTTTAACGTTAAAAATAACAAGTAATAATTTATTTACTTATTTACTTATTTTACATAGAATAATAAAAAAGAGGTAAGCCAAAAGTATATTTTATTTATTCTTTTAAGAAACACTGTCAACCTTGTGAAAGTGGGTACATATCGTCTTCACACGTCCTCCACCTTAGCCTTGCATTACTGTACTTGTAATATTTTTTTATATATTATACGGTTCTTGGCTTTGAGAGTAGTATTCAATGCACAGAAGGAAATGCAGAATGGCTAAACTGAACCATCAGGTATCCAGGACCACTATTCTCCCCCTTCTCATTTACCTGTCAGATATGCCGCTGACACCGACCGCTGGCTGCCGCGGAAAGACGCGGATGGCTGTCGAAGCGAGTCACACTACGAAAAATCATTGATGAGTCGAAACTCGGCCACGGGCTTGGGGCTAGTCAGTAAAAGCCCCGAGACGAAGCTTGGATTTTACTCATTAGCTGCCGCCCCTCCACGTCAGATCAATCATTAGTTAGGTTACTCTGATTGCGATTCTGATGCACAACTAGGTTCGTGACCGACCCACGAAAATCGTCAAGATGCACCAATGATCTCCACCCAATGGCCTCCCGCGTCCACGCTACTGGACTGTAAGAAAGTCGAACATATGTAGGGCCGTTGGATCAAAATTTGCGATCGTAATGGGAGGCTCTGCTTGATTGTGATCCCTCCGATGAGGTGAGAGGTATCCTCAGTGGATCCATGCAGATGGGCCCAGCTATGCCACGTCACGAACTGGCAGAGCAGCGGCTATTCGTGCTTTTATTGTAATTTGCAGAAGGAAGGGAATCTGAGTCACGGCTCCAGCTCTCTGTCTCTCTCTTTTTTTCATAATTGCATTATTGGTTTCAGTCAAATAGCTCCAACCCCTTTGTCCACGTCAGCAGAACAAGAGAACTCATGCACTTTTTTTGAGTTTTGTTGGTATTTTTGTTTTTTGATGTGTATATGTCCTGTTAGTTTAACTTGATAAGAGAAATGTGATAAAAGGCATTAAATTTTGTTTGGTAGGCTGTAAAATATTAACCTTCTAGCACATCATTGATATGCATTTGAACATGTTGTTGTTGTTGTTATTATTATTATTATTATTGATGCTATTGCTGTTATATTCTTCTTGTTTGAGGTTACAAAGCTTAACAGAAAGTTTTGGAATAGAGAGTAGATGATAACGTATTGTCTATTTTTGGAGCTGTTGAAACTTTTTGGTCACTTTTTATTTCTTGCCGAAGTGAGTTAGAAGTAATGAATTTTCTCAATTCCCAAATGCAAGTAGGCTTTTGAATATTAGGCACATAAGAATAGAAGTGGGATAAGCTTTTGTTTCAATAATAGTACTAGGCTTCAAAGCACGAACTTGTGGGATACTGTTTGTGTGTGTCATTGTAAACATAATTTGCTAAAATTTATTAACTATAATTCCTACCATGATTCTTACATATTTTAAAACCCAGAAGATTTGAATCTTTGAGTATTGATATACCCCAATTACACAAATGCTTGAAAACTCTAGGAGGGAACAGAGCCCCAAATAATGAACATTGAAACAAATATCATTATAATCTTACAAATAGATTTCACGTCAAGTAGTTGTAAAAACAAAGCTTTTTGAGCTGCCCAGAGGATTACCCAAAGCTCAGGAGTCAGTACATATTTCTCTTACTCAAACTCTTTTGAACCTGACATTGACGGTTACATTTATCACGTGAGTAAGCCTTGATAATACATATATATATATATACAGATATACGTGAAAAAGGGCGTAGTCAACGTTGACTAGTTTTTCCTACATTACAGACTTCAGGAGCAGGTTGTGGTTGTTACCTTATCAGTGGGAATGAAGCAGCTTATCCTCTGTGCGCGGTAGCTAAAAAAAATAATACTCCTAAATTAGGGCTCAGGTATACGCTACAATTAGGATATAACCCTATCACACTGCCCCACGAAAACAGAAAATAAGGAAAGAGCTGTACCCACCTCGGTGGCGTTAATTTAGCCTTCAAAACAAATCTCCGGTTACCCTGTTGAATGCCACGGAGGCCAGTATCTCATTGTCCTATTAACACTATAACAAGTAAACGTTGAAAGTTAGCACACCAACACCTTGTCAAGCTAACCAGCAAAAGGAAAACTAACAAAATGTAAGGAAACAGAAATAAGAGAAAGAATTTTTATTTTTTTATTTTAAACCTATTTATTATGTGCGTGCATATGTTTATGAGTTTATCCACATATTTGGTAATAGATTTAAATCACAATTCTTAATTCTCTTATTCTACACTGTAAAATGCTTTGAACCTTCACAGGCAAAAGATTTTGAACACTGATTTGCAATAAACAGTGCAAATTACATTACTGCAAATGCAATGTGCCTTCGTCTGATAATTGCCATTCTTTTCTCCTATGGCAATACTGTTTGGTTTTGCTACATTTATTAACTATGTGTTCATATATACATGCATACAAATTGTGTCATGGATTTTTAAGGGCTATCATTATATTCTCATCATTTAAGGGTTATCATTATATTTTGTATTCAGCCGTGAAGGTCGTCGAAAACTATCATGTCACTCTACCCGAAAATATTATCTATTTCCTATACTCATACCAATACCAAATAAAAATATACAGATGGATTTTCTGAAAAAAAATGAAGAAAAGAGGAAGAGAACTGAAGAGGGGAGAAGCAGGGAGACGGAGGACAGAACTGTGGAATCGGGGCAGCCCTAGGCCGAAATAATCGCACGAGGGGACACATTCCACATTCGGAATGGCCGTGGGGACCGCTGGACCCGACTAATCAACACTCGGAATGGGAGGAAGTGGGCTCCTGGACCCGACAGATTCGGGTAGAAGATCCATGCTGACGTGTTCCTCACTCACTCCCTCGTGTCCCTGTCTGTCCATCGTGGACCCAGTTGCCACGTCACATAAAAATATATGACACGTGGGCTTATTGTCACATACTTAAATTTAACACGATTTAATGTGCACAATATTCGTATAATACAACTTAGGATTTTTTATTTTTATTTTTTTTGTGTTTCTTTGGATATTCCAATAGTTTATTCCAGTCATCTGAATATAACCATTTTTTACTTTTTAATTTTTTTGTGGAATGTTTTATTTCGAAGTACAAACTTGTCAATTGCAATACCAACACAATAAAACAAACATAAACAAAGAGGACGGAGTAAATAAAGAAATTTAACATCCAACTTAACCAAACAGAAATTGTTGTGTAAAAGGTAATGTTATTGTGTGAATTTGATATTTAAATTGTGAGATTGAACAATATAACATCCATGAATGCATGCAAATACTACATAGGATTAACTATTGCATGTAACTAATACTCTGTGCTCAAACAATACTACATTAAAAAAAAAAAAAAAAAAAAAAAAAGCAACCAATTCTATATTTAAATGAATATTTTTAATTAAATGAAGCCACTTTTTTGTTTTTGTGATGAGTAATTAATAGCACGGAACAAAGTGACGTCAAGTTACTCTTTAACATACAGTCCACACTTTCACGTTACAACCACTTTCATTTTTCTCTATCTTTATAAACATACAAAGTGAGAAATTACTGTTTTTTTTATTAACTGGTTATTAAAACAATATGAAATGAGCAAGTGAATTTGACTGGGTGGAGACCCGGTGCTTGACTGGGAGAAGCTGATCTACTTGTGAGGCCCTGCGGCGTCTGCGCAAGCGGAGGATCGGAGATCACAATATTGTCGTCAGATTACACTCCTTAACTGAGAATTGAGTATAAATTACTTAAACTAAACCATGAAACGAAAGAAAGAGGGAGGGATATGGAAATCAGAGCTTGCACCCGATCAATGGAGTCAGACAGGGCTGGTTGCTGTGGCCTCGTCATAAACATCAGCAGCATCGAATATGTTGGCTACGTGCCAACGAGATCGTGCTTGCGAAAGTTTGAAGAGATCTTTCACAACAGCAGCAAGAGCTTTGTTAAAAGTAGCGAAGAAAGGCTCCACACCACACAACCATCGGACCGTGATGAAAGCGGTCCGTCCTCTGCGAAGAACGTCCTTGGCGACTTCCTAGTATTGTCAACAGTCGTCTTGAACTTGGGTCGGCGTCGAAAGCTGGCCACTAGAATGCGCCACATCTATCTTTGGTTAATGTTCTAAATATGGATCTACCAGTGCCTAATGCTGCACTGAACTGGCTGCTGAACCCAGTTTAATTGGAAGTTCCAAACGAGTTGCACGGCGAGGAGATGAAACCTCAATCGGACACCGTCAGCCGAAACACCGAAAAGATTCGAATGGGTTCGACGGACTTCGGCAGGCACTCTCAGTTGTACGATTAATCCTATCGCACGCTCCGATCAATCCGCGTTCTGAAGCCTCTGCAGCTCTGATGGTATTGTGGAGACTCCTTGTGATTGCAGAATATACCAGCCGCGTACTGGAGGCCATCTCTCTCTCACTCTCCCTGAAGCCCAGTCGCGCTCCGCGCTCGACGTGACGGTGAGGCGGAGAGCGAACCCACCGTGGAGCTTGAATGGTCCATCACCACACACCCAACTTTGCAGAGACCGGCGCAAAGCCAAAACCAGCAACATTAGAAGATTAAGATGAAGATTGGAAAAAGGCTGGGAAAAGAGAAGATCAAATACTGGGTGACGTGAGGACTTCGGAAGCGGTGATTGCGTGCTCGGAGAGCCGATTGCTATCTGCTTTTGCATTTTGTTTCGGAGTTCCGGGCAGCTGACCGCGGCGACCTAGATAAACAACGAATCCGTGCAATCCTAATGCCTATGAGCAGGAACAGAAATAGAATTTAAACGTGGAGCATATGAAAAATCACCCTTTGTGCCTTTTAAAACTGTACAAGTGGCGTTCTGCTTCAAAGCATTAAACGTCCACATTTTCCTTTTATGTTCGACAAGTCCTTTACGATGTGAATGTTTAGACAAAAGGTTTAGCTTTACAGCTGAAAACCAAAAATGAGCCACTTGGCCATCTGCAAAGCTTGTTGCAACTACATGTAAAATAGTCATGTATCTATTTTACGCTTGTATTGTTGTCTAATAATATAAATTTTAACATCTGCAACTTTTCAAGCTGGCATCAACCAAATCAAATTTATTTTATACTGTCATGCATGTAGTAAAACCAATTTAATTTATCAATTAAAAGTCCATTAATATAATAGTATTGGACGTTGAAATTCATGAGGTAAAATTCTATTCAAGGGACGTCGAGTTCGTATAATTAAATTTTTAAATTTTTTGGTGCTTCGATTCTGAATATCTAAATAATCATTTACAAACTACGCGTTTAAACAAATATATATATATATATATATATATAAGATTAAAGTAATGCCAAAAACATACTGTAGAAACATGGTATTCAAAATTTCAAAAGTTAAATCAAACCACCTGTGTTTGATAGATATGACTTCAATGTCATCTTTCTAATCAACAACAATGAATTAGGAGGAAAATAACAATTCTTATGCTTTACATATATTGTGATTTAGTATATATATTCATAATGCTAATTTATTTGTAATTCAAACTCAACACCATTTAATCTGTCTGAGTGTAACCCAATTTAGTAATCATTAGTTATAACAATTGTATTCACTTGAAAATAAACTATTTTTTGTTAACAACATTCTACATTATTTTTTATTTTTGAACGAAAGAAGATGATAAGTGCAGTAAAAAGAATACACAAACACTTATTTTCTTATTGTCTTTCACAGTTCATTTTATGTATTTTTTTTGTTCATAATAATAATTATTGTTATTTATTTATATGAAGTATTGGTAATGCCACTACAATTTTTGATATTGCAACCACAATCCACCTTCTTACTGAACATATTTCTTTGGTTTTTTATTCTAATGTAAAACATTTATTAATATTTCCAATATACATATTTAATAATGAAGAAATAATTGTGGTAGAAGTAGCAAAAATTGTGATGACATTAGCAACATCTTATATGTATGTGTCATAACTTTCAATTTGCAAAACGACCATTACCCTTATTATTTCAAAACAATTAAATCATTTTTTTTAACATCGAGATATATATATATATATATATATATATATATAAGTAATTGGGGTATTGTTAATACCACCACAAATTTTACCACTCCCACCACAACTTGCCACCCACTTAACATATTTCTTTAGCTTATTTTTTTATTTTATTTTTTTATTCCAATAAAAAAAATGTTTAATTAAATGGTTTGAAAAATATTAAACAAAGAAATTTTGTTTCACTTGAAAGATTTTGAAAAAAGGTGGCATACAATGTATGAGAGTTTGTGGTGACAATAGCAAAAATTGCAGCTGCAACATTCTAAAAGAATGCATATTTTGTTTTGATTTTTGATTTTGTCATACTCTAACTATATTTTTATTTTCTATTAATAGGAACATGAACATAAAAAAATACTGACTGTAGCAAATATAATTACACATTTATACGATGTTTACTATCATGCATTATTTGAAACACTTTTTTCCAATGACTTTGGTTGGTAGATACTGTTTGTCTTACCAGAATTATTATGCAAAAGTCCAAGGAGTACCCAGCAATGAATTAGATAAAATCAAATAAAACAAAAAATCAAGCTCAATCACAGGGATAACCAAGTCAACATCTATGAATAAACATAAAATACGCAACGAAATATGAGGGAAACGATTATAGATGTGTTAAGTCATTTTCAAATCTATTTCGATTGTTATTGCAGCACAAAAATGTGAGGGAGAAAATAAAACAAGAAGCAAAAGTCACAACGCAGTGTTATTGCTTTTACAACTTAACTGAAAAAGTATTTGTGGGTAGAATCTCCTCTGAAAAGTGCCACCTTTCATCCAATAGCTAAATAACACGTGGCATATACTTCCCGCGTCGAAAGCAAGGCACAGTTCGGTTTGGTTTGGAATACTTTGCCTGCCCGTTCGGTCAAGGTTTTCCTCACTAGAAAATGTTTCCCTGCCCGAGGAAAGTTGTCCATTTTCTAGTGAGGAGTCTCACACCACTGCCGAGATCAGCAGAGTGGAGCCGGAGCCCGTGGGCAGAGAATTTCTTTGGCTCGGGTCGGGGGCAGTGGATAAAACTTCTTGTTGGCTTGGTTCGGAACTGCCCTGCCCAGTCCTGGTTGGCCTGAGCAAGTATGGAGCTGCTGGGACATGGGTCATGCAGTAATATTAAGCCTGGATTTTGGTTTATAGGGTGATGGTATAAATCTACATATTGGTTTTTTATACTTCAAAGTAGATAGAGTGAAAAAAATATAATATTCTATTATTGCATTTTAATCATATGTTTAATTTGGTTAAGAATACTGCCATCCACTTCTTTTTCAGTATTCTTTGCATGAAACTATTGATTAGGATTGTAATAAAAGTGTTCCAACCAAAAAAGTAACTTAAATCAAATTGGCCTTGTCAGATTACCTGGTTAAAATGTGCGTATTGTTAAAAGGGATTATTTAGACTGAAAATGAAAGGGCTATAACTTTATGGGGCTGACAATATAAACAAGTGTTTCTTTAAAATACCTCTTAAATTCCCCGAGTGTTTTGTTGTGGACGTTGAGCATTATACTCCATGTGAAAAAAATAAATTCAAATTCATTATCTTACCTTCAATATTGGAAAAGATTAATTTCATTATTACCAACTACCACTCACAAATATATTAAAGACGATTTCAAATACAGTACAAACGATACATTACTTCGTTTTCTTCCTCCTTGCTTCAGTTCAAACCTTCCTCAGTATTCCACAAATATAAATAAAGATAAATCCAAGCAGAGGAAGACTATTCCAGGACAGAATAAGAGCCCGAATTGAATCTTACATTGTTATATATCTTCATTAAAAGAAATAAAAAAATCGTTACACAAGGAAGATCTGGTTACTCTATAAATGTGTTGAGCATCTAAACTTCCCTTGAAAGTATGTGTGACTTGCCCCTTTTTTCAACATTTATTATTTGCTTGAGCCATGCCCTTTCAATAGAAGTGCCTTTCATCAATAATGCATTTATAGTTTCAGTCCATTCTTACCATTTCGTTCCATTGTAATTTTTTTTGGTTGCTTTTATAATTTTACATTTCATGTGCGTAAAATCTTGCAAATTTGTGTGGAAGATAACGCATGGATTAACTTTCTCACAACCCAACACAGCATTTGACATCAGATGTAATGTATAATATTAACGAGTGTAAATTTGCTCGTGTATACTTTTGATTATAGAATCAAATTCGAATCAGGTGCTATCAATCTAGTCTTTATAGGTACAAAAGATATGAATTTTTATTAGTCGAAAAAATCCGTGAAGTTTTGATTTGAGATAAACAATGTCGGAATTATTCTTTCCATCAAAACGTCACGTCATGACATATTTTATACATTCATTCTTACCAATACGAGCTGCCAATTTCAACACATCTACAAAACAACATCAAAGCCACTGTTGTTTTCATTTCACAAGTTCAATTTCAGGCTTCAAAGGCATCAACGTCTAACTGATTTCGACACATGATATTACTTCGAGGATATTTTGAAATCAGAACTCGAGTCCGTTCATTCATAGTATCCACCGAAGCCATTCCGCTGTTCGCTGGCGTCTATTGAAGGCGATGATTCGTTCTTTGAACAACTCTTCACACCATTGTTCGGGAACTAGGTCATCCAACAATCCCAAGACCTCTTCATCGCACGATTATTCATAGAGATGGAGAATTAGAAAAAGAGTAATTCGTGGTCGGGTCTGGAAGAGGCGAAATAGAAGCAGATGTGCAACAGAGGTTCAGGCATTCATGAGAAGCTAGTATTCATGGATGTCAGCGATGGTGGTGATGGTGGCAGACTAGGTCTGGAAGAGGAGGAGCGAGAGGGGGGAGGAGCAGGATGAGGCTGGCGCAATAATAAAAATAGAAACCCCTTCGTCGCCACGCTCAGACTTTTCTTCCCGATCGCGAGAGATCCATCCCTCACCCTCCATCCCACCCTCGAGTCCTTGCTCGCTGCTGCGAGTCGTCATGCTGGACCCCACACCCGTGGCACGGCATGAGGGTCGAAGCGTGGACGGTCGTGACGCCCACGGCGGCAAGGAGAAATGTCAAAAGTGCATGTGGGCGTTTTTGTTTTTGAGATTTTGTGGTTAGGTACGTGTATTATACTTTGTTTTGTTTTTTGTGTTCATCTTACTTAATTCGTTTTTGTGGTTTCGTAAGTGAGTTTTTTTTGCAGGTCTTTTATGGATTTAGTGATCTTTCTGTTCACCATACTTTCTTTTTTCTTTTCCTTTTTTTATATTTTACCTTCAGTGACTTGCGGAGAGATTTGTGGGCCTCGGCGGATGAGGTGGGGAGAATTTACTTACCTGCTGGGCTCGGGTGAATTTGAAGCTCCGTGTTATGGCAGATTCCGCCCGATTGGCGCCCCGTAGGAATGGGGGATCATTGTGGGTGCATCCGTAGCTAGGGTTAGCCTGGCCGGTCCGGGATCCGAAGCAAGGGGACCTGGGAGTCGGGTTGTGTTGGGTTGCGTTGTGTTGGCTCTGTTGAATGATCTTGGTCATTTGTTGCAAGCGTGGAGCTGCTGATGGGCGCTTTTTCGTTGACGCAGAAGCAATGAACGGAGAGGAAATAGGCTTCCTGCACCAGCAGAAGTAGTCGTTGTAGTAGTCGTACAGCAGAGGCTCCGCGCGTGATAGTCGTCTCTCAATGGGTAATGCAAATGGAGGTTGAGAGTGTGCGGAAGTGTGTTGTTGTTGATGGTGGTGGTGTATTCTATGCTTCATTCTCTACGCTCGCGTGTGGCTAGTTTTGTGAGCAGCAGCGGAGTGGGAAGAAAAAAGTCGATTTTCCGTGCTGGAAAGGAGGCAGGGAGGACTGGAGTGTGGGGAAAGTAGGACTGCACAGATTGCTGACAGCGGAGCGAGGAGTCGTTTCAGAAAAGTATTCATTCTGTGAGGAGAGAGGTGAGGAGGGGAAAGCCAGTTTGATTTTTTTGGGATGTTAGTTGCGCACGGAGCAGCTCCAATGGAGCCCGGCGTCTTCTTGTCCTGGCTGCGGAACATGGAAGACGATGTTAGGATTGCTACTTTGTGTTCATGTGACGTGACAGCGGGAATGCGTGAGTGACTTTCGGGGGTTGACGTCGTAGTAGCACTTCTGCACTTTTGTCTCCTCTTCTCGTGGTTTCTTTTTGGTGCTTGAGAGAGAGAGAGAGAGAGAGAGAGAGAGAGGGGGTGGGTGGTGAGATTTCAGGGCGGGCTGTGGTGTCGGCCGGGTTGGTGACATTGGCTTGGGTGGTTTCTCTTCTCGTCTGGCTCCATTCAGCCGACGTTGGCCAGTTCCTGAACTACAACTCGCTAGTTCTGGGGTTTGAAGCAGTGTTCTGTGAAAGTTGTCTTCGCGGTGAGGGGAAAATTGAATGAATTCCACGTCTGGGTACTTATCTTAGACTTCATCGTGCTTCTCTCCATCCTATTATTGTTAGTTTTTCCATTCCAACGTTTTTATCCTTGGCGCTTTTCGTTTCACGGCGCATCCAGTGAACGAAGAGAATTTCTGCAACGTCGAAACTCTTACTTTGCAACAACAGGTGCTGGTGCAGAAGTGTCGTGAGAGCTTCTTTCTCGCTCAGGCCTTTGAAGCGTTGGGAGTTCATTTTGGTACTCTCTGCCAACAAAGCAGCAGGTTTAAAGAGTAGACGGAGAAGTATTAGAGGCTTTCACTCCGTTACAGGCCTCATGGAGCGCGGTCGTGAGGGTCGACGTGGGAATGGAGGGGTTGTATTTGTTCAGGCTCCTCGGCGGCCACGCACTGGTTTAAAAGATATTGCAGGTCTGGTCTCGTTGGGCTCTCTCCACTTAATCACTTCGATTCTCAAATTCCGGTCTTGTCACTCATCGCTACTCCTCCTTCCTCCTCACCTGGCGCTCTGTAAATCATGCCTCGATAACATACCTTTCTGCCGTTTATACAACGGATTATTGGCGGCTGTCGCTGGGAGTAGCCATTTGTCGGTGCTTATTTATCCCAGATTGTTCCGTAGTCAAACCTTCTTGACTAATCTGGTACACCGTACCGAATTGCCTCTGGTTTCCTTGATAAACTAAAGGATTTGTCTGCGCATTACAAGAGATCGTGAGAGTATTAGAGCTGTACTGGTTTTAATGGATTTGCCAGGTCCAGGGTTAGCCATTGGCAGAGGCCAGTGTGGTGATTTTGGTTCCCATGTTGTCTCAGTCGTCAATTTTGTATAACTCTATTTATTTATTTATTTATTAAGCTGTTAGAGACTGTCACGGTTAGAAGAACTTTTGCAGAGTAGGTCCTAGCGCGTAATTGTGTGAAGCCTACTCAGAGAAATAACTTGAAGAGTAAGGGAGAGGGGTAGAGGACGAGATTTGTCGTTGTCAATCCCGGGTATTCGAAGCCTGGCTGCGTCAAGGTGAGCAGCACCGATCGTCTGCATCTGACATGAATATTGGAGTCTGGAGCGAATGAGAGCGGGAAAGGAAGCTGGACAGTTCAATTTGTGGTACAGAACCAATTTTGACGGACTATGACGCTGTTTCGTCTCGGTGCTTCAAGTGTTAGGCTGAGCAATGAAGTGCACTTTCTGGTTGAGAGTGAGGTTCAGCATAATAGTGAAAATAGGGACATCGAACTGTTACTTGTTTACTTTTCTTGATTCTGGCATCATTGGAGAGAACTTTATGCGGCATTTGTGTGTTAAGTTGTGGTCGTGAGTATCTCCTTGACTGGGTTAGCCAGAATTCTGTGGCTAAGCTATCAAGTTGTCAGCGATCTATAATTGAGTGCAGCATTGTGTCATCCCCAGATGCGCTGCTTGCGTTGTGGTTCTCTGAGTTTTCTGGAAATGAAATGTGAAATATTCAAGTTTCATGCGTACTACGGCTACTTGAATCGAATTCACAACCTTCACCTTATGCAGCCCGGACGAAGACTCAGAGATCTGATCCAGTGACCTAGTTCAAATTGACATGCTCGACTGTATACTTCAGTGCATCAGTTTTCTTCTACTGATATGTCAGAACTTTGAGTGTAGACTAAACCATAAATGGCGGGTGTTCCTACACCAGGGTCGAACTCAGTAGGTGCTCCTTCTGTGACAAGTGACAATCTGAGTAGGAGACTTTCGTGCCCTTCGCCCCTTGCCGTATACGCATTCACTATCATGTAGTGTTTTGGACTCTGCTTCTGTACGTGCACTGCTAACCTGCATCCCGATTTCGTCTCCGACCACGTTACAGTGTAGTCCCTCCGTGTGTCACGATTCGCATGTGACTGTGTAGTCGTGTCCCGACACGACAGTTGCAGGATCTTTGGAGGTCCGTGAGAGACGGTCGAGCGTACGAATAGGTGGCGGGTAGATCGCGGGGAAGTGGCGCAATGGCAATCGTGGGATGGGCAGTTGTAGCAAATGCGTTTGGCGACGAGTGGAGAGGGTGGGTTGCGGTGGTGGGGCGTGGTGGAGGAGGGGCAGAGGGTGGTGTGTGATGTGGTGGGTGCGGTGGGGAGCGTGGAGAAGAGGGGGAGGGCAGGGTAGAGGTGTAGTGCTGATAGGCTTGGGTTGGGGATGTGGTTGGGTGGTACGCAGCTGGCGACGATGGCGACGACATGATGGAGGATGGGCACAATGGTCGGCTACGGGAGAGAGGGAAGAAAGACGGGGGTGGGGTGACGTCGAGCCACGGAGCGGGGAGCAGCATTGTAGGAAGTAGCAGCAGAAGCAAGAGGAAGCGGTACGGGTCGCAAGAGAAGCAGAGGCAGGGGCAGGGGCAGGGGCGGAGGAGCCCGGCCGAGGAGGTGGAGGAAACGACGGAAGACACGGAGATGGGGGCGTCGGAAGACGACGACGACCAGCCGCCACCCATAATTGTGCGACGGTCGGGGAAAGCACGGGCTCAGGCGAAGGTAAGGGGCGGATGCGGAAGGAGGGGGAGGAGTTGGGAGGCGGGGGAGTGTGGGGGAGTGTGGGGTAGGGGTGGAGCGGAGCGGAGCGGGTTGCGAAGGAGTGGGGGCTGATTGGGAGTTGGACGGTGTGGTGTGTGGCAGTTTTCGGAAGATGGGAATGGGGTGGATTTACCGGCGGTGCCTCGGAAGGCGCGGACAGGTGGGTTTGCGTGGTCGATGGTGGGATGGTGGAGTGTGTGTGTGTGTGTGTGTGTGTGTGGAGGTTGAGGGAGAG